GCTGCCGCTTGGACGGTCATACCTCCTCGCGGTGCCCTTACACTACCGCCCTCGACCGCCACTACGCTGACCTTTCTCGTCAGCGTCGTGCTCAGTCCCCCCCCGGCGCCTCACGTCCCCGCGGCGCCTCCTAGCCACAGTGTAGTGTACACCTGCGCCCTCCTCAGTAGTGGGCTTCCCGACATCTCCGTCGCGGTTCGCCCCTCTCGCTACTGGAGTTGAGGTATCGCAGGACTCGACATAGTGTACTTAGCCCTCTGTCGCAGTACCGTCTGCGCCTCCGCAGACCACCGTTTCCCCTCCTCCCCCGCCGCGACTACCGACGCGTCAAGCCATTCGGTCAGCCCCTTACAGCGAGCAGCTTGCTACTCGCGAGGACGTTGTGTCCTCTCTTCTGGACTTGAGCATGCTCCAGCCTCGCCAGGAGCGACTCACCCTCCATGTCGCTGCACTGCGTCGCCTTCTCGCCGTCCTCTCTGACCCTGATCGCACCCTCCCGATCATCCCCGTACGACTCGGGACCTCCACGAGGGTGTACTCAGCGCTGTGGGATTCCGGTTCTCAGGGCGACTTCATTCACCCACGCGTGGTGAAGGAAGCCCGCTTACCCACGACAGGGTCTCTGACTCCCACCTTCGTTACCCTAGGGGATGACAAGACCCAACGCTTTTTCGATCAGACGGTCACCGACCTCCCCTTCTTCCTCACTCTCGAGCCGACTGAGCGTTCCCCGGCGTCTCGTCGCCACCGCTCCTTTGCACATTTTGATGTGATGGAGACGGGGTACGACTTCATTCTCGGCACTCCGTGGTCTCGTCGGTTCCGCAGCACCGAGGCTGATTGGGCGACCAACACTCTCGTTCTCAAAACGAAGTGTGGACAGACGTATCGCATACCTTTCATAGGTACCACGGCGACACCATGCCCCGATCCTCCTCCCCCGGACCCTTCAGTGCCCACACCATCTCCCTCTATCACTGTCACCTCGCCTCAGCAGTTCGCTCACTTCATTCGACAGGACGACGTCACCTTTTTTATGGTGGACGTGACAGATCTCTTACACTTTGATCCACCCTGTCCCGACGCCGAGCTCATCCCTCTGGAGCCAGATCCTCCCTCTATCTCCATGGCTCCCATCTCTACTTCCGTCCCTCCGCCGTCCGTCGAGTCCACCCCGCTGTCGCGCGCTGACGCTGAGGCTGAGGAACTCGCACGATATACGGCTGACTTGGAGCCCGCAGTTCGTGACCTCATCCGAGAGTACCACGACGTTTTCCCATCGTCGTTCTCGTACGCCGGCATCCCACCGATGCGTGACGTCGAGCACTCCATTCAGCTCGTGCCTGACTACCGTGTTCACCACCAGGTACCCTATAGACTCTCGATCTCCGAGGCCACCGAACTCAAACGTCAGCTTGAGGAGCTCCTGAGACTGGGTTTCATTAAACCCAGCAACTCCCCGTGGGGTGCACCATCCTCTTTGCTCGCAAAGCGGATGGAACTCTTCGTCTCTGCATCGACTACCGCGGCCTTAACCGCCACACGGTTAAGAACAGCTACCCCATGCCTCGTTCCGATGAGCCGTTTGACCGCCTAGCAGGCAACCGCTTCTTTACGAAGATTGATCTTTGTAGCGGTTACCATCAGATCCGCGTCACTGCAGCCGACCAGCCGAAGACCGCGTTCCGATCGCGATTCGGCCACTACGAGTTCACGGTGATGCCATTCGGCCTCACCAACGCACCCGCTACCTTCCAGAGGGCGATGAACGACATCTTCAGGGACATCCTGGAGCCGTACGTTCTCGTCTACCTCGACGATATCCTGGTCTATAGTCGTACCCTTGAGGAGCACCTCAGACACCTCCGCGACGTCCTTGACCACTTGCGCAAACATGGCTTCTACGCCAAACTAAGCAAGTGCCGCTTTGCCCAGCACAAAGTGGATTTCTTAGGACACTACGTGTCTGACCAGGGTCTCCACATGGACGACGCGAAGATCACTGCTATAGCGGAGTGGCCCGCTCCCACATCCGCCAAGCAGCTTCGCAGCTTCCTAGGCCTGACCAGCTACTATAGTAACTTCATCCGGGGATATGCTAGGTATTCCTACGTCCTTACCTCCACCCTCCTCCAGAACAACCCACCCTGGGCTTGGACACCCCTCCACGAGGACGCCTTCCGCGCCCTAAAGAAGGCGGTGACATGCGCACTGGTTCTTCACCTACCCGATTTTGACCGCCCTTTTATCCTTACCACCAATGCGTCAGACTTCGTTGTAGGAGCAGTGCTTTCTCAGGTCTTCCCCTCATCTCCTGATTCCTCTCATCCTCGTATCCCTCGCTTTCCACCACCTACCCCTACCACTGCTTCTCGACTGACGCCTACTCGTCCAGCTACTGACGAGCCTTCTATTGACTATTCTCCTACCATCGCCGAGGATCACTGTCGAGTCTCGCTCAGGTGATTGTCCGATAGCCTTCTACTCCCGTCAGCTCCTGCCCGCCGAGATAAACTACACTGCTGATGAACGTGAGGTTCTCGCAGTAGTTTATGCCGCTCGGCATTGGCGTCACTACCTGCACGGGGCACCATTCATGGTGCGCGCGGACAACTCTGTTGTCCAGGCTTTTCTGACAAAGCCGAAACTCACTCCTCGACAGGCTCGCTGGTGGCGCGACCTATCCGAGTTTAGTTTCACCACTGAGCACATCAAGGGTGAGACTAATCGGGTCGCCGATGCCCTA